TCTGACCCGACCTGACCTTATCAGGTCGGGTCAAGTCAATTACCCGACCCGACCCGACCTGTTCGGAGCTCTAATAACAATAATACATGCAATATAAACATATATACATGTGATTCCAATGATAATCACCACCGGTGATACGTAATAATTTTCTATATTAAAATACTCTTTAATCTTATTTATCTTTAAAGATTATAAATACATAAAATTTGATTATTAGTATATTATTAAAAAATTTCATGTAATGATGACCTAAGAGAGATTCAAAGTGTAATCTAGTAAAGGACTTCGAGTTATAGTATAAAGCAGTAAGATTGGAAGCACCTTTGGAAGGTTTGGAAGCATAATTTACTAATAAAATCATTTGGATTGGAAGCTTCCAATTAAATTTTTTACTATTTCTGTTCATTCTAGGGATTGGAATCGTTTCAAAAATCAAATCAATTTCAATTCCAGTTTTTGAAAATCAAAAATTGGCAAAAACAGTGTTAATTTTTTCATGTTCAAGTACTGTACAATTTTAAAACTTTATAAATACATTTTTAGAGCTCATTATTTTATAATCTTTATTTATTAGAAAATAAAAGTTAAAGATGTAAAAACAAAATTCCGTTTCACAAAATGTGGTTATCACGTGACATGCTTGTTTGGGGATTTTTTTTTTAATACTTTTTTTTTCAATGTTTTACGATTATACACTATCATTTAATTATTTATTAGGAATTGATATACTAGTAAAAGGAATATCACGAAGTATTTAATTTTTTTTTTTTTTGAATATATCTGATAACCAATAGTTTTTTTTAAGAAAAAAATAATTTGATTGTATAGATATTTGTATAAATATTTTTCTAAAAAAAGACTTCCTGGTAAGCTTTCTGACAGCTCAAATAAAAGGTTATAATATTACTAGGGTTTTGAATCATATGATTTTCAGATCATCAATTCTAAACTTATTCCACTTTTTATAATGCAAGACAACAAACGAAAAGAAGCTCCTTCTGACATTGCTACTAACGCTCCAAAAATCAGGAAGTCATTTACTGCAGGTTGTTTATAACAGCAAATATCATTCCTATTAATGAGGAAACAAGTGATCGAATAGGAACTAATTACCTCGACAAGGATTATCAAACGTTGGAAAGAACGAAACGCGAAGTGGTGTAAGTTTTATATATATATATATATATATTTATATTTATTTGTTATATATATAAATTAATTTATTTTACATTTCTTAGTATCATCATACCAAGCGAATATGAATTCTTTTTATGTTATCCAAGGTGAGGTTGATTAGAACTTTGATTCTCATTCATATCACTGTAAAAATGGTTTTTATATTCCTTTGTATTTTTTTTATTTTAGAACGAACACGGAATGAAATTTACTAAAATATGGTTAAATATTTTTATATTTAAAGTATTCTAATCAAATAAAGGAGGAGACATAATTTACATCAACCCAAAAGGAGATAATATAAAGTTAATACCGGTGATTATTGAGGGTTGCTTTCTTAAAATCATGTTCCATGAATTATCCGCAAAATGTGAGTATCATATAACGATATTGTGTCAAACGACTATGACTTCTGTTTATATTTTAATTTTATATGCAAAGTCCTTACTTATATGCAATTCAGCATGGTCTAATTAATTTTTATTTTAATTGGTTAAATTTCTTCTTTGGGAATGTTTCTGCGGAAGTGTAAAGGTAAATAATATGATCGATTTTGGAAATTTTCTTTCTATTAATTATAATTTAGTCTTATGAGAAAGATGAAAAAGTAATTATTACTGCAAGCGGCAGTAAAGTTTCCGCAATACAAGTCAGAATGAAGACGAAATACCAATGATGGGAAATTCTGGTTTCCAGTGAAAATTTCACCGGAACTGGATTCCGAAATATTGGAATACCATTGGAACAACCAATGTAACATCGGAACACCACATCAGTAATATCACTACCACCATCATACCACCATTACCATCACAACAATTGAAATACCTACTCCACTCTTCTAATCCTCAAATCCAGCTCATAACTATCATACGATTATTCTAATTCAATTTTAGAAAATATGTTAAAATAAACATTTTCCTGGAGGGCATGATCGTAATGGTTTCAGTGCTAAATTAGCGAACATATTCAGTACGGAGTTCATTTTGGAAACTTCTTTAAATCGCAAGAAATATCCCATACTTTTAGGAACAACATGAAAGAAATCGAACAACCAATTATCACCGTTTATTTAAAAGCGATTACATTTTGGTTAAATTTTACTGGATTTCAAAAGTTCAAAATGAGTCGGTTTGATGATGACATAATTGACCTCTTAAAAAGCGTGTGTACGACTCGGCGGGAGTGTGTTGAGAAAGTTAAAGTGTTCTTTAATGATGAACATTAAACATAATTTTAAAGAATACATGCAATTATACACGAAGACTTAAAATCTTCATTAATTTATATGATAAATGTGGTGAACGATAGGAAATTGGAGACCTTCCCTCTAACTGATTCTCAATTCCATCATGTAAGTTTTTTTAATACTTTATATTGCATGAAATGGTTTTTAACATTATTCATGTACTTTTTATTCAAAATAATAGACAAGCTTCGTTAACAAAATATGTATTACAAAAGGAGGTACCTACGTTAACTACATTGCAGATCAACTTGCTGAAAAAATCTTGACATCGGCCAAAATCAAGAAGGACGCAATCATAAAAATGAATAAATCAAAAATCATATGTGGATACTCATCAAATGTTTGATTGAAAATCCATCCTTCGATTCCCAGACGAAAAAAATCTTACATTAAAAGCCACATCATTTGGATCTACATGTGACGCTTTCTTTAATAAACGTAAGTAATTGTAATATTATATATATTACTTTGTTTTATGCTTGTAAAAAAAATTTTTTTTTAAAAATGTGACCCTTTGATTTTCTCCTATTTATTAGTTCTCAAATGTAGTATTGTTAATCTCGTTCTGGATGAAGTTAATGATAAACTAAATAAAGATTAAAGAATACAGATGGAAAAAAGAGTAACAAGTAAA